GTCCAAATTCCAACAAGGCAAACATTAACTCTCAAGGCTTGAGAATAATCTTTGAATCTGTGTTCTGTCTTCTTGGCATGTGGGGTGGGAATTGGGCCGCCATGGCTCCAGGTTACCCTACCCTTAACATCGCTGCTCATCACAGCCCATGCACCAGTTCTCACATGTTGGAGTTGAGTACCTGCAGATCTCCTAGGCTTGTGTTGTTTGCTGATAGCTCTACAGGTTTAAGATTGGGGAAGTGGCCTTGACCCAAAAGCTCCACTAAGCTTTATTTGGGCTTTTTACAGTAGCTCTAACTCATGGTTCTGCTGGACATTACCCAAATGGAAACTCTCTACGGTGGGCCCACCCCTGTGGCAATGCTCTGCCTGAGCCCAGAGGCTATCTGCGGCATCCTTTAAAAACTAGGTAGAAGTACAGATCAACCCAGCACTTTAACTATGAATGCCTGCAAAGTTAACACCATGTGGAGACTGCCAACATTCTTCCTAATGATACATAAGTTATCTAACATGCTAGAAGTTTTCTCTGCCAAACTCCTCATTTCATTTTTTAGCTCTCACCAGAATAGCTTCAAACATCCACATTTCAGTTTCTTCTAGGAAATACAGGCTTTTTATCTCGCTTTTCAAAATTCTTCCAGTTTGTAACCATTATCTAATTCCAAAGCCACATTCTGATTTTTACATTAGGACCCCACTTCTAGTATCAAAATTCATATCATTTCCTATTACTGATATAATAAATTACTACAACCTTAGTATCTTAAAACAACTGAAATGTATTCTCTCATGGTAATAGATGCCTAAAGTCCAAAATCAAGGTGTCAGCAGGGCTTCACTCTCATTGGAGACTCTCAGGGCAATCTGTTCTCTGCCTCTTCCAGCTTCTCCTGGCTTGTCAACATTCCTTGATGGCAGCCACATCACTCCAATCTCTACCTTCATAGTACATTGGCTCCTCTGCTTCCCTCTGTCCTCTCTTTTGTCTGTCTCAAATGTTCCTCTGACTTTTCTTGAAAGGATGTTTGACATTGTATTTAGGACTCACTGGGTGATCGAGGGTAATCTCAGTTCAATATATTAATTTAATTACATCTGCAATGATTCTTTTTCCAAAAAGGCAATGTTTAAAAGTTCTCTGGCTTAGGACCTGGATGTACCTTTTAGAAGCCACCATTCAACCACTACAGTCTAAGACATCATAACACAGCTATGAAATGAATTGTCCTTCTCTCAGTAGACTAAAATAAAACCACATATTAAAAAGAAATGAGTTGGTGGAGTGACTTAAGTGGTAGTGACTTAAGTGGCCTAGCAAACATGAAGCCCTGAGTTCAATCCCCAGTACCACAAGGAGGAAGAGGAGGGAGAGGGGAAGGAGAAAAAGAAGAAGGAGAAGAAATTACTTTCTATGTGCCAGGTTGTGGATATATTGAAACAAAAAAAGAAAACTTCTTGTAAGGGTAGTCAGACAATAATCTGAATATGAAAATTCTATATGGTAATTATTGCACAAGAAAATGACATGGGGTACAGTAATGTGTCACAGATCAGCTTACTTGAAAACACCAAAAAGGTATTTCATGAAGAAAATAACCTTTAGTAAAACTAAATTTTTCTAAAAAGATCCATTTTTCGTTATTCCCTTCCCACCCACCCCCACCCAATAAGAATTCTACTCTAAACTTTAAATAATTGTTTTAATTCAAAAACTTCAAATGTTCCCCTGTGCTTCTAACTGCTTACTTTTTAGTTAATGGGGAACTCTGTAATTAGTGAGTCCAGAGATTGGCTTCAGTGTGAGACTGCAGGGAATACTGGCCCATCTTCCCTTGGGTATAAAACACAGCACATCGCTACAAGAGCACAGATAGCTTTTTGGTTCATTTAGGGAGTTTCTTCTTTAGGCACTATCCTTAAAATGATATTCAAAGCATCATAGATGCAATAAATGAAGAGGTGGCAGTTTACTAGAGCTCTGATGAAGTTTTCATGAAATAGATGCCAGTACAGAATATAAGCTCCTTTAGAAGAAATATCCTTATTTTTCTTTATAGTGTCCTGCCTACAGAATGATACTGCTCTGGGTTTCAATCCAGAATTATTTACTCTGGGAGAACAATCTTGATTTTGTGTCATTTCAAGTGTACCTAGAGCTACTGTAAAGTACAACACTTGTTGACAGACAGAGAAAAAAGAAAAGAAGATAGTTCTTCCAGCGTGACATGACACTCCGGTAACAGGAGTCCTCTTATAGGAGACTTTACCTGGGATGTGTCTAGCCGAATGGGAGAGCCAGAGCATGAAGGAACTGTATCCTCCAGGAATATCCAGAATGAGAGTGATATCTTCCCCGATAGCTGATATTCCTCCTATTTTTTTTGTCCTGGAAAGTACTGTTTGTGTTTGAATTCAGCTGATCATTCTCTCTTCTACTCCCAGGCTGTGGATCTTCCTGATCTTCCACTAGCGCTTGATCCTGAAGCTCTTCTGTACTTATCCCCCTTTCCTGAGCTGGTGATGAAAACTTCTCAGACCTTGGTAAGCCATCTCCTTCCTTGGACAAGCCTCTGATGCTTCTGTTCCCAAATATGTCCTGTTTGATCCAGCTGCTTTGGACAGCTTCTCAGAAAGGTATTTCTCTTCTCCCTGCATATCACCAGGAACAAGGACAACTTAAAGCCTGAGCATGAATGTTTTCATGGTTGAGGGTCCTAAAAGATTGCAGAAAACTGACACCTGGAATGAAATGAGATCAGAAGTAGATCTGGAACTGCTGGAGTTGCTTAACTTCCTGCCTCCACAGACAGACTCCTGTTTTTTCTATAATTAAAACCACCATCAAATCTAGCCACCACTGAGACACTGAATAGTATAAAATAGAACAAAAGGGACAGAAGATATCCTACTTCTATTCAAATTCCTCCTTCATGCACCTAGGGTCTGCATTTTTCCTCCAAACCAGGATGCCTCAAGCCATCATTTTGTGTAAATTGAGCTTCTGAAAATACACTTCCATTCATTTATTCATTATTTATTCCAAATATTTCTTTAAATAGCCAGTATGGGCAAGACATATGTATGACACTTCTGAAATCCTCTTTTCATATGTTTTCCTCTTTTAATCATCTCTTCTTCTTTTCATTATTTAGAGAATATTAGTTTCTGTAATCAAATCTGTTTAGATAAAACCTTACATTTTTAATACAATGTGTTACTCCTGAACAAATGGAAAAGAATTAACTTTAATATTTCTAGACCAATGTAGCTATTAATTTCTGTTCAATGACAACCCAACAAAGTAAACTTTAATTTTATTTTTGGGCTCCCTCAGGTCTATGTCTGACAACAGTCTCTCATGTGTCAATATGAAATTAAGTCAATGCCTTTAATTTCTCCATAGTGAATGAAAGCTGAGAATTTTTTCCTACTTATAATTTATGATCTAGAATTTAGAAGACATTGTCCTTGGTCTTGTTTTTCAAATGCCTGGAATTGGTCTGAGATGCCTTTTAGCATGGCAAAAGAGGTTGGCTCTTTTCTTTGTGATACTCTCAAGATCATATGATACAAACATCTGCAGCCCTTTATCCATATAAAACATCCATATCAGGACATAACTATAGAATATTCTTCAGAAATGTTATACTATACTTAGGTAATTATTCATGCTCCCAAAAAACACTGTGGTCATGAGCTCCTTGTGAGTGGAACTGGAAGAATGACAGCAATCTCAGGACAGCTATAGCCACAGATAATTCAAAATACCCAAACACTTGAAGGAAACAGAACAAATATGCCCTTTCACTTTGCTTATGTAGAATACAAGTACCATCTTTTTTTTCCACAGTATTTACAAATGCAGAATCTTCAAAAAAGTTCTATAAATGTTTATGCTTCATTATCACTGGATCTAGCTGAAGTCACAAAAAGAAGGAGATTGCTATGTTTGTACAGGCTCACAAGTAATGTACACTTGATTTTAAAATGGTTTTCAATTTGGGATGGTGAATTTGTTTATTAGGATCAGAATTTTAAAAGCCCATTTGATGAAAAAAAAGCAGGATTTGAGATGAGGGTTGAAGGCACATGGAAGTTTTGATCATTGGAATGGAAGACAATGTGATCAAAGACAAAGAAATAATTAGATCTTTCTCTTCTAAAAAGGTGGAAAATGACAGAAAAATACGTTAAGGACAGATAAGAAAAACTCCAAACCTCAGGGTAGAAATACTGATCCTTATTTCTGTCCAACAGTTATGTACTAGACTGAGAATTAGGAAAAACCAAGGAATTTTTTCCTGGTTCTACTTGATGTCAACTATGACTCATCATTGTATTCTGGGGTAAAAGGGGAATAAAATCCTAGTCCTGAAATTCTTCAAGGGGGTTAGAGATGTTGCTCAGGGATAGAGTACTTGCATAGCATGTATAAGGCTCTATTTCAATATTCATCACCAAAAGTAAATGAAATGCTCACATGAAATACTTCATAGAATTTCAGTGAGAATAAACAAAAGTAATTGAAAAAGTGTTCTGTTCACAAAAAAATTACTAAAATTGCATGCCTGGTTAATTAGTAAGGGTCTCCAGACTGTCTTGAACAGGGAGAATAAGGAGAAGAGAGAAGGATTGGAACAACCATTACAGATTATGTGGTTCAATGTTTGAAATGTAATGAGAATAGGGATTTCTGAACTTTAGAACATGCAGTGAAAAACAAACAATGTAAATGTGTAAGTGAACAAACAATATTGCTTATCTAGCAAATTCTGTGAGACAGGAATAAAATTCTCTAAAATATGTAAAGACTATGACCAAGGCAAAAGGATAAAACTCTTACTAAGACATACTGAAGGCAGCCTTGACATATCACCTCTCAAGTTCAGGCAGAGCGTGGACAAATGTAGAAGCAGACAAGATGATGCCCTAAAGTATGGAAAAATCACTGACTTCCTCACCCCTTTCTATTATATTCCAAGGAAATATCCACAAATGGCTTGGAGGAACCACAGCACCATCACTGAGTTTATTTTCATTGGCCTTTCTGATGATCCCTGCATTGAAGCTCTGCTCTTTGTACTGTTCCTGGGGATTTACCTCCTGACCACGATAGGGAACCTGATGCTGCTGCTGGTGATCAGAGCTGACTCCCACCTCCACACCCCCATGTACTTCTTCTTGAGTAATCTATCATTTGTGGATCTCTGCTTCTCCTCTGTCACTCTGCCCAAGCTGCTAGAAGACCTCCTATCTGAGAAGAAAATCATCTCAATAGAAGGCTGCCTGACTCAGGTCTTCTTTGTGTTTTTATCTTCAGGAACTGAAGCCTGTCTGCTCTCGGTGATGGCCTATGACCGCTATGCTGCCATCTGTCATCCACTGCTCTATGGCCAGGTGATGAGCAATGAGCTCTGTGTGAGACTGGTGTTAGTCTCATGGGGTGTGGCCTCTCTCGATGCATTCATCATTGTGCTCTTGGCTGTTAACCTAGACTTCTGTGAGGCCCAAACCATACACCACTACACCTGTGAGCTACCTGTTCTTTTCCCCCTGTCTTGTTCAGATATCTCCATCGCTACCAATATCCTGCTCTGTGCCACCTTATTGCATGGGCTTGGAACCTTTATCCCAATCTTCTTCTCCTATGCCCGTATTGTCTCCACCATCATAAGCATCAGCTCCACCACAGGCAGAAGCAAAGCCTTCTCCACCTGCTCCTCCCACATCATTGCAGTAACCTTGTTCTTTGGTTCTGGTATTCTTTGCTATCTTATGCCCCCCTCTGGTTCCTCCCTGAATTTGCTCTTGTCTTTGCAGTACAGTACAGTTACACCCATGTTGAATCCCCTCATCTACAGCCTAAAAAACAAGGAGGTGAAGGCAGCTGTGAATAGGACATTGAGGAAGTATCTATGTTTTAGGTAATAAGCAGACAGTTATTAATCAAAATATAAAGATTGTGTTCTTTGTCCCCTCTCCTCCCATCACATGGTTTCAGATAATTTGGAAGAAACTTTCCAGAGTTTACCTAAACACCAAATCTTGTTATTCCAAGGTAGGAGTTCTTGATTTGGGGCCATTATTTGTAAATTCTGTTTTTTGGTTGGAAGAAAAATGTGAAGATAATATTCTACAAAATAGATTTAGATGACAACAAAATAATTAGGATGGAAAGATGTTATAATCATATCAGAAGATTTGTATCTAACCATGAAACATTAGTGAATTATTTAAAGACACTTACTCTAAAAAGAAAAAACTATGTCAACAAAAAATCAAGACTGCATATAGAATATTGTGAACACAAGAACAACATGTGCTAAAGTTATGAAACATTGAAGTGAGGTCTGCAGTAAAATCAAATTATATTCTTAAATGCATTTATTAATAAACAGAAAAGTAATTAAATTTCTGAAAGCTCAAATCCAGATCTTAGAAAGATAACAAAACCTAACATGATTTTAAAAAAAGAAAGCAAGAGAATTAGTTAAAAGCAAAATTAATAAATTAGAGCAAAAAAAAAACAAGGAATAAGTCTGTGTTCCAGTTATTCAAAAAGATGTATAAAATGTGACATATCTCTGGAGAAAACATTCATGAAAAAGAAACTAATTTAAACCATTGAAACAAAGAATAAAAATCAGCTATGGTGGTTTATAACTTTAATTCCAGGACTCCAGAGGCTAAGCCGGAGGATTGGAAGTTGGGGGCCAGTTTGGGATATATAGTGAGACCCTGGTTTTTTTTTGTTTTTTTTTTCATTTTTCTTTTATTATTCATATGTGCATACAAGGCTTGGTTTATTTCTCCCCCCTGCCCCCACCCCCTCCCTTACCACCCACTCCACCCCCTCCCGCTCCCCCCCCCCAATACCCAGCAGAAACTATTTTGCCCTTATCTCTAATTTTGTTGTAGAGAGAGTATAAGCAATAATAGGAAGGAACAAGGGGTTTTGCTGGTTGAGATAAGGATAGCTATACAGGGCATTGACTCACATTGATTTCCTGTGCGTGGGTGTTACCTTCTAGGTTAATTCTTTTTAATCTAACCTTTTCTCTAGTTCCTGGTCCCCTTTTCCTATTGGCCTCAGTTGCTTTAAGGTATCTGCTTTAGTTTCTCTGCATTAAGGGCAACAAATGCTAGCTAGTTTTTTAGGTGTCTTACCTATCCTCACCCCTCCCTTGTGTGCTCTCGCTTTTATCATGTGCTCATAGTCCAATCCCTTGTTGTGTTTGCCCTTGATCTAATGTCCACATATGAGGGAGAACATACGATTTTTGGTCTTTTGGCCAGGCTAACCTCACTCAGAATGATGTTCTCCAATTCCATCCATTTACCAGCGAATGATAACATTTCGTTCTTCTTCATGGCTGCATAAAATTCCATTGTGTATAGATACCACATTTTCTTAATCCATTCGTCAGTGCTGGGGCATCTTGGCTGTTTCCATAACTTGGCTATTGTGAATAGTGCCGCAATAAACATGGATGTGCAGGTGCCTCTGGAGTAACAGTCTTTTGGGTATATCCCCAAGAGTGGTATTGCTGGATCAAATGGTAGATCGATGTCCAGCTTTTTAAGTAGCCTCCAAATTTTTTTCCAGAGTGGTTGTACTAGTCTACATTCCCACCAACAGTGTAAGAGGGTTCCTTTTTCCCCGCATCCTCGCCAACACCTGTTGTTGGTGGTGTTGCTGATGATGGCTATTCTAACAGGGGTGAGGTGGAATCTTAGTGTGGTTTTAATTTGCATTTCCTTTATTGCTAGAGATGGTGAGCATTTTTTCATGTGTTTTTCTGGCCATTTGAATTTCTTCTTTTGAGAAAGTTCTGTTTAGTTCACTTGCCCATTTCTTTATTGGTTCATTAGTTTTGGGAGAATTTAGTTTTTTAAGTTCCCTGTATATTCTGGTTATCAGTCCTTTGTCTGATGTATAGTTGGCAAATATTTTCTCCCACTCTGTGGGTGTTCTCTTCAGTTTAGAGACCATTTCTTTTGATGAACAGAAGCTTTTTAGTTTTATGAGGTCCCATTTATCTATGCTATCTCTTAGTTGCTGTGCTGCTGGGGTTTCATTGAGAAAGTTCTTACCTATACCTACTAACTCCAGAGTATTTCCTACTCTTTCTTGTATCAACTTAAGAGTTTGGTCTGATATTAAGATCCTTGATCCATTTTGAGTTAATCTTGGTATAGGGTGATATACATGGATCTAGTTTCAGTTTTTTGCAGACTGCTAACCAGTTTTCCCAGCAGTTTTTGTTGAAGAGGCTGCTATTTCTCCATCGTATATTTTTAGCTCCTTTGTCAAAGATAAGTTGTTATAGTTGTGTGGCTTCATATCTGGATCCTCTATTCTGTTCCACTGGTCTTCATGTCTGTTTTTGTGCCAGTACCATGCTGTTTTTATTATTATTGCTTTGTAATATAGTTTGAAGTCAGGTATTGTGATACCTCCTGCATTGTTCTTTTGACTGAGTATTGCCTTGGCTATTCGTGGCCTCTTGTGTTTCCATATAAATTTAACAGTAGATTTTTCAATCTCTTTGATGAATGTCATTGGAATTTTGATGGGAATTGCATTAAACATGTAGATTACTTTTGGGAGTATAGACATTTTTACTATGTTGATTCTACCAATCCATGAGCATGGGAGATCTCTCCACTTTCTATAGTCTTCCTCAATCTCTTTCTTCAGAAGTGTATAGTTTTCCTTGTAGAGGTCTTTCACATCTTTTGTTAGGTTTACACCTAGGTATTTGATTTTTTTTGAGGCTATTGTAAATGGAATTGTTTTCATACATTCTTTTTCCGTTTGCTCATTGTTAGTGTATAGAAATGCTAATGATTTTTCTATGTTGATTTTATATCCTGCTACCTTGCTATAGCTATTGATGATGTCTAGAAGCTTCTGAGTAGAGTTGAGACCCTGTTTTAAAAATAAATAAGTAAAAATTATGAAGAAATACCCATAAATAATAAATTTGAAAAGCAGTATTAAGTTTAATTTTAAGGAATACATAACTCAAGAGAAATTAGGCTGAGCCATTATTAGATTTTTAAAACCAAAAAGACATCAAAAACAACAAGAACTGAAAATTTTTCAGATAAGTCTTATAAAATTCAATGTAGATTCATTTACCTAGAGCACAGAATTATATGAAAGTCACAAGGCATGTTCAGAGCTAAAGTAACTCTAATTTGAAATCTGAAAAATCATCTTCTTATAAATAGAAAACAGCAATTCTAAATAAAATATACATTTAATCCAAAAGTATGATGAAAGAATAAAATAATCTACATCATAAACCAGGTAGAGTTTACTATTGATTTGACTTCAAATCAAATAAGTCAAATGAAAATAGTCATATGTTCACCCTGATAGATTATTAATAGACAGAGTAAAACTCAACAATTTTAACCTGAACTGTTTAATAATACAAATTCAAATCATTCTTTATTTCATATTCACTGTGCTCTGTCCTGCCTCCCTTGATACTCCCTACATCAAAAATTATAACACAGAAAAAATGAACTACTCTTAGTTGCATAGGACTAGTGTGATCTTTACATTACATAAAAGTGATGCGTACATTAGTAAACCTTAACTATAAAGCAGTTTCACAGATTACAAAACTAGTGAGTGAGGATCCAAGATGGCAACTAGGGTACAGAAGCAGACAGAGTGAGCTCCATGAATCAAAAATCTTGCTGAGATGCTGGAGCCACACTTGGTGGAAATAAAGCACCAAGGAGAATCAAAACTTCAACACCCTGAACCCCCAGCCAGTAGAAAGCTTCTCCATGCCACGTTACACTGAGAAAACAGATGGGCTGCTACCGCCACCAGCCACTGGCTCCAAACCTGCTTGGAAGACAAGCATCATGCGGTATTCCCCAAGCCACCCCTAGGATAAACCAGCATAGCCACCTGGGCAGACTGCTCACCCTCCCCCCACCCCCGCAAAAAAAAAAACTGAACAATAAACAACAAACAGAAAACTAGCACATGGCAGAGGGGGTGGGAACTCTGAAAGCTCACCAGAGAAGAGGGGAGGGGCAAGGAGTTAATCTCCATGTGAACGATCAGTAAACAAACAACTGTAAAGGCAGGAATGCCAACAGAGGGTAGGTGATAAGCCACTGCCTGAAGTAGGGCAGGTAGCGGACAACAAAGCTCATCTCCTGAGCCAGTGAGCAACATCCAAAGTCAAACAGCTCTGCAAAATTGAAAAACAGTGAACCATCACAACACGCTGACAGCAGGGGCTGGCTGACAGATCACTGACCTTGCCCCAGAGAAAGGGGTTGAGGCAAAGAAACAAGCCCCCAGTAAACAAGCACAGCAAAAAGCCAACTCCAAAGCAGGACAGCTGGTGGACTACAGAGCTGATCTCCAGAGCCTGAGGACAACATACACTGAATGAAAATAACTCCAACCCTAGGATACTCTACCCAGCAAAATCATCATTCAAAACAGATGAAGCAATAAAGGTCTTCTACCTTAAGCAGAAACTAAAACAATATATGACCACCAAACCACCACTATAAAAGATTCTCCAAGGAATTCTGCACACAGAAAATGAAAGCAAACAAAACCATAGAGGACAGGCAGTATCAAACCACAGGAGAAGAAAAGACAAGGAATCAAGAGAGTAACATTGATTCAGCTGCACACACTCAAACCCTTAACAACAAAAGCAACTAAATGACAGGAATTACCACATACCTATCAATATTAACACTGAATGTCAACTAGACTTAACTCACCCATCAAAAGACACTGTTGGAAAACTGGATTAAAAAGGAAGATCCAACAATCTGTTGTTTTATAGGAGACCCATCTCATTGACAGAAACAAGCACTGGCTTAGGGTGAAAGACTGGAAGAAGATTTACCAAGCTAATGACTCCTGAAAACAGGCA